ATAAATACAGATAACTCAATTATAAATATCAAGGATTAACAGAGGGTATTATAAATAAATATCAAGAATTTGACAAGAATATTACAGAGTAGAAAAGAGCGTGTGTAAAAAGGGTGTAACTATTGCAGTGTTTACAGTGTATTAGATGGAGGAGTTGTACAGGGAGATGGCCAACAACAACGAAGCGTGGTGTCCATTAACTGCAGGACTAAAATTAATTGATTAATTGCTGTATGCCAGTTTACAGAAGTTTAGAAATACTAAATCAAGACTTAAAATATGACTTCAATTGAGACTCCAAATGGGAGTATTTTTGAAAAAAACAAAAACAAAAAACAAACCCCAAAACGCATGTTAGCTTGAGGAGTTAACAAATTGACAACAGCTTAAGGAAAACAAGTATCAACTGTAATAAATAAGTAAAACATATAATACTAACCATTTTTCGCACGCACGAGATCGGGTAGGATCAAATAATAGGCGTGTACTATTAACACCGAAAACATGGGAGTTTTGAGTTGTGCGCATGCGCAGTAACAACAAGTAGGACAGTTTGATAGGTAGGGTGTTTTGTCAGAACACCTGTTCAAAGCATTATGTTCTATGATGTAATGCGCCATTCGGTTACGTCACAGTGACTGAGCGCTGCCTTTGTTTCAAAAGGCATAAATACCCTGATACACTTACCTATCGACAGAACCTGCCAGCTTGATATTGCGGTTAGAAACTGATTTTTTTTTTTTTTGCTCAGCTGTAAAACTTTAGATAGATATATAATGGTTTCGGATTCGGATTCGTCTTCGTCGTCTTATGACAGCAATGAGGGTTTACAAATGAACGCCCTCATTGAAAGTAAAACATGTAAATACATGGTAAAAAGGCTCCTCGGAGAAGGAAGTTTTGGGCGAGTGGTGCAATGCGTAAAATTAGACACATTTGAAACGGTAGCTGTCAAGGTTGCTAAAAGGGAATGCAACAGGATGGCTTGGAAAGAGGCCACGGCTGTAAAAAAGATCAGTGCTTTGGATAAGGATCGGTGCAATTTGGTAAAGTACTACGAAGTTTTCGAGTACAAATATTGCGCCTTTATTTCAATGGAAATGCTAGACATTAGTCTGCATGATTTCATGAATCAAAGGTATTGCAATCCACTGTCTCTGAATGAGATTCGGGTCATTTTAAAGCAGATGTTTGTGGCTCTTACCGCTTTAAAGAGCATAGGTATAATGCATGCGGACATCAAACCTGACAATATCATACTTGTAAATCAGTCTCAACAGCCGTTTAAAGTTAAACTTATTGATTTTGGTTGTGCCAATCATCCTGCAGACATTCCATGTGGCGCCATAATTCAGGCCCTTGGTTACAGGGCCCCTGAGGTCATGTTGGGCATACCTGTGACTGAATCGGCAGACATGTGGGCTCTTGGTTCTGTCGCAGCTTTTCTCTACTTGGGCTACCACTTTTTTCCCAGCAAGTGTGAATATGAAATGATGCGAGGTTTTGTTCACATGCTTGGTCAGCCTAATGAAAGAATATTAGAGAAAGGGAAGCACAGCAATAAATATTTCTGGAAGAGAAAAGGGATAATGAAACACACATGGGTAATGAAGACACCAGTTCAGTATTCAGTATCTACAGGCATTGTGATCAAACAAGGTAAATCAATCAAAGACAAGTTCACATGCATGGAAGATTTAGCCAAACACCACTCACAGCCAAACACAGAATCCGAAGTGAAAGATACACTTGCATTTTTAAGCCTGCTCAAATGGATGCTGTGTATGGATCCTGTAAAAAGAATCACACCCGTTGAGGGTCTGGGACATCGTTTTATTACGATGAAACATCTTCCTGAGGACCCTGCAGTAGATTGCTACGTGGAGTCATCCCGCATGAGCATGAAAGTGTGCCCACCCCTCAGTCTAGAAAATGAAATAGAAAGCTTTGTTACCTCAAGTGAAATCATAAAAAACAGAGAACAGAGCAGTAAAGGATCTAGGCTGTCTTACTCTTTTGCGACTGCAGCTGATATCCAAAGAAACCGACAGAAAAGAGAAGCTGCACGGACAAAGAATCAGACTGCATTTAGGCTTGCATGGCATGCAAAAGATGACATGTCTTGGAAGCTACGTGTCAAACAAAAGCCTGGGATGACCCAAAAACAGCTGGTAGAATCTTTCTCTAAATCCAGTGATTCTCGCATGGAATGTACAAGTTCCTGTAGCTGTACAAGTACAAGTACAGACAGCGGAGAAGGATCAGTCAACGCAGAGCCTCCTAAAGGTCGGACTTCATTAGGGAAAAGGATCAAAAACTTTTTCTTAAGGCTGTTTCGCAGTTCTTCAGATATTGAAGAAACTCAACATCAACCTTCCCCAGCTGGTCATGGCAGATGACCGCCCCTTCTTGAGCCTGGTTCTGTCACAGGTTTCTTCTTGTTAAAAGGGAGTTTTTCCTGCCCACCGTTGCCAAAGTGTTTGCTCATAGGGGATCATCAGATTGTTGGGGTTTCTTTTTTATATTGTAGGGTCTTTACAGTATAAAATGCCTTGAGGCAACTGTTTTTTGTTAAAAATAGTTTTTGTTTTTTAAAAATGTAAAAAATAAAATGTAACCAACTTTAATCAACTCTTACTCTCAAGGTTTTGTTTTTTTTTTGTCGCTGGTGTCACTGTCTCTCGGTCTGCCACTTTTTGATAAGTGTTAACCCAATCTGCTTCAAACTTGGATTGATCGGGACCCTGGTAGCTCCAGAGTTGATTTTGAGGTGACTGGATACGGGCTGGTATCAGTACTGCCGTTATTTGTTCTGTTCTGTGAAAATAAATAGCCAGCTCTAGTTTCCACTGATGCAAATTACGATTTCATGCAGTGAAGTCATAACAACAACCTTTTACAACAACTAGTTTATTGCCTGGATTTTGATATTTAATTCTACCTTTTATATTTATTTAGGTTAACAGTCTAATCATATTCTGATTCTTGACAATAATATGCTTTTCTTGTCACATAATAAAAAGGCATACAATTCTGTATTCACACAAAGTGAGACAGTTCAAATGTAAATGAAGGTGTAATACACTGATTACAAATCATTTAGCTGTACCTCATTATATAATGACGGTAACTTTTGTATGCTCCCTATCTCCTCCTAGACAAGTGGACACATTTTGATGAAACTTTGCTCAAAGACTGCCAACTTCTGCATTTCATAGAAATCCCAAACATTTACATTTAACAGTTCAACTGTGCACCGAATGAAACAGAACGCCAGCATTCACTCATGCTCATGTCAACTCACACACATTTCTGAAAGACTTGCTTTGTGTGGGATGCTCATCTGATAGCTATATCAACAAGCCTTTCCACAGCCTGCCTTTCTGCTTGTTTGAATCCTGACCTTTTGCAGGGGCAGCATATGAAGCGTGGTTTGTTTACCTGCTGTGCAGTGGCAAATGGACTGGTTCTTATAGAGTTTTTTTCCTGCGCTATACAAGTCTCAATCACCAGCTTATACAAGCACCTGTGTTTTATATAGTTTATATGGTTTTTGTTTTATATATGTATTTTTAAAAACTAATTATTTGACTTACATGCCGCCATGGATCATGCTGCAATGCATTCTGGGTAGCTTGTTCAAATGGGTTGCACTCAGAACCCTGAATTGAAGAATTCAGAAGAAACTTCTACCATCAGTTTTGCTCAACTTTAAAGCCACAGCAATGATGACAGATCCACAATGTGCTAATTCATGTCCAGTGCTCTTACATTCAGTCAATTGGCTTAAATTACATTCTGGTTTCTACAAGTCCTGCTGAAAAACCAGTGTCCTTTTCTAGCTAAAGCAGGGGTATCAAATGTATGGCCCGCGGGCTGGATCAGGCCTGCAAATGGGTTTAATCTGGCCCCTGAGATGATTTTGTAAAGTATAAAATTGAGATGCAATTTTTCAATAAAAGAAACTGCTGGGTTCTGGCTACCTTTACCCTGGGAGCTGGTGTAGGCACAGGAGCAAGCTGGACCTCTGCTGCTCCCACCCGAGGAACTGAAATGGTGCAGGAGTCAGCAAGGTCACAGTTGCCCTCACCTGGGGAACCAGAACAGGCACAGGCAATGACTGGGCGTCCACCATACCCACCCGAGGAGTTCTCATGTCTGTCAAATTTATTATATGGACGTGGTGACAGTGTAAAGACAGCCTGTAGTTGTGATTTTCAGACAAATTTTGGGAGCTGTTTTAACATTGGACTTTGTGGAAGAGTTGGATGGAGGAGGCTGTGCATTGGTGACATTTCTGAAAGAACCATAACATCTACTACAATAATAATAACATTGGATGAAAGAGGGCAATGATGGCTATGTTTTGAGGGTAAAATGATGGCTATAGACCGAATGCTGTGGACACAGCAGCAGTTGAAAGAGAAGATTTTAAGATCAATTATCCCCTGCTTCCACTCTAGCAGTTGAACTGTCTCATTCTAACCTCCAACAATCCGTCCCACACACACCCATTATAGACTCTGAAACGGATGAAAAAATGCATGAAACTTAAACTGGAACTGACGTAAAAGTATAAAGGATAATAAAAGATAAATATAAGCTGAATAGTTCAATGTGTTGACTTAATTTTAAAGTTTGAATGGAGTCTGTCAGTCAACGTATGTGGAAGTAGTTGGAGTTGAAAGAGGAGTAAGTTGAATGAGAATCTGAAGATTCTTCCATTGAAATACACTATAGATTTTTGCTGAATAAAGTTGAATAATTTAAAAAATATATATAAAAGTTGAAAATGAGAAAAATACAAGGACAGATGTCCAAAAGAAGATGAATCTAATGGTGGTTGAATGGTGTTGAAGGAGATACAAAAATGTAAGGAAGATGAAAAGTAAATATCACCCAGAATACCTGTTTCCCCCGGTATTATACAAGAGGTCCATGCGACAATATTTAAAACTGCCTTTGTTTAGATTTACAAACACAGGAACACGTGGAATCAAACGCCAAACACATGTACATTCTGTTCCCTGCCATTGTGAAACAACAGCAGAAACTCTCCGATCTGCTCTATATTAGATGGCGGTAAAGCGAGATCAACTGTCGCAAGCCCTATCTCAAAACAGCTTGCATTGTCGTGCAGCAGCCCCTGAACCTCCGCATGTGAAACCCCATCGGCCTCTTCGTACGGCACCCTAGCTGAAGACGGTATGTTCTTCAGAGTGATCCGGCAAAATAATAGAAAAATATACTTGTTTACCGGTTTCTAATGTAAGTGTTGTCTTTTGTGTGTTTCAGAAACATGCCAGCTAAAGGTCCTCTGCAGTCTGTCCAGGTGTTTGGACGTAAAGTGAGTAAAAATGTGCAATTTAATCCACGTGTGGGGTTGCGGCTAACTTGTCTTGCTAGTCGTAGCTGAAATGGCTGATATTAAAAGGTGGTGGGCCGCTGATTTTACACTGCAATTCCGCAGTAAATAAGCCAGTTTATATGGTATTTATGACATTAAGTAGTAATAATACTTTCATTGAAGCTGGTAATTACTGTTAGATGTGATGTAGGTGCTCGACACCGGACGGTTTTGCTTTTCGTTAGCTTACCACGCTAGCCCTGGTGCTAGTGTTGAGTTTGGGTTCTGAATGACAGAGTTAGCTCAGGTTTATCCTCATACAGTCAAATAAATCGTATTTAACCAAACTATTAAATATCGCAAATCCGTCACATCACTTTGAAATGCGGAGTTGCTGTCACCTGGGATTTTAAATTGAATCTCGATGCGTACAAATGAATGGAAATTAAGAGTTCAACATTACGTCAATTGTGTATCACCAGATTGAACACGTTTGTATGTGCCATAGATTTACTTATTTACTTCGCCATGTTCATTTTCCACAGTGGGTTTTCTCGTGTCATTTTATTTTTTGTGTATTCTACTTTAATTGAGTGACAACAGTTTGTGAAGCCTGTTGAACCACAATTATCTATATATCCCCACCGTGATCAACATCGTGCATCAACTCCTGATGTTTGCAGATTTGACTAAAGCTGAAGAAACTTACTTTGTTTTAGTTTAGTTTTGTAAATTAACCCCCCCCCCCCCAAAAAAAAAAAAAACAAAAACAAAACAAAAACAAACCCCAAACAAACAAAAAACAGTAGGGTATAATAAATTCAGTGGTATTCATCTGAACTTTCTGTTGCAGAAAACTGCCACAGCAGTTGCCCACTGCAAGAGGGGGAATGGCCTGATCAAGGTGAACGGCAGACCCCTGGAGATGGTGGAGCCTGCTACGCTCCAGTACAAGGTGAGTCCTAACAAGAGAGGTGAACATGAGTGATGTAAGTGGTCGTTATTTAATTTTGTGTACATCAAATGATGTCACAGTAGAGCGTGAAAGCTCTTTCTCCAGGCAGTTGATGTTGGACGTTATACATATGGGATTGATTGATTGATTTTATTTTATTTTTTAATTTAAGCATAAATCTAGCTGCATTGGAGTTGCGCATGTGTATATTTTAGAACAATTTTAAAATTCGGTTTTTAAGACTATAGAAAGGATTTCCTTTTGAGAAACATCAATGACATAAATTTGACATCAATATGTGATTATTTTTGTAAGCTTTTGGAGCCAGTGCTCTTGCTTGGTAAGGAGCGTTTTGCTGGAGTGGACATCAGAGTCAGAGTGAAGGGTGGTGGACACGTCGCACAGATCTATGGTAAGTATTTCCTCTCTCTATAATTTCGCTCATGATGTTTAATGATTAGTGTTGAAAAAGGGCTCTAAACATTGACATGTTCTTGTCTCTCAGCCATCCGCCAGGCCATCTCCAAGTCCCTGGTTGCATACTATCAGAAGTGTAAGTAATGAAGTTTTTTTTTTTTTTTGTACAAACATCACTCTTTTGTAAATAGGCATGTTTAGAGTCACTCCAGAGTACTACACATAGGTGCGAAGTGGAAAGTATTTGATAATCCCGTGGTGCATTTCTTCTTTTTAAGAAAATAAAATCGTAAACCGTAACACAGTACAGAAAATTTGGTTACAGTTAAATACATTATAACTTTTCTGATTTGACAACTCCAGGCTTTTGAATGCTATGGCAGGTTAGCCTACTGCTGAGCTATTGGTGTTTGCTCTATGCTGCATAAAACTGGGCTAAGACTGACTATTTAATTGTTTGCATTGGAATTGTTGCGTGATCATAAGCAGTGGGCTGAGCTGTGAGATAGAACTGCTGTGTTGTGCTCACTAGAGCAGGTCGTTGCCAGCATGAACTATTTTTGTGATTCTCCCAGGCGCAGAGGAAGGTATTTCAGAAGCAATCTAGAAGTGGCACACTACTTCACTAAAAATATGCATCTATTCTAAGTCACTTCACAGAGTACATGAGCAGGGCAGGAAATCAAAAATAAGATGACTTCTATCATTTGGTAAATTTTTAAAAATAAAATCCCCCCTGTGTGTGCCAAATTCTCTGCTTTA